GTTTTACCATGTTGGACAGGCTAGTCTTGAACTCCTGACCTCAGGTAATACACCTGCCTCAGCTTCCCAAAGTGCTAGGATTACAGGCATGATTCACAACGCCCTTTCTGAAAGTGCTTTTAAGGTATAAGGTGCTACCTGGCAGGGTCTAAATTATTGTGTGCAGGTACATGGCACCCCTTAGAAAAATCTTTAAGGTTAGAGACTTAAGGACGTGACAAAACCAGGGACTGCCTCCCCTACATGAACCTTACTGTCTTTTAGTGACAATAAGATGGAAGTTTAGGGTACCAAGAAACAAGACAGTAGATAAGAGTTTCAAATGGCCATTTATTTCCTATCTAAGGCAATGCCAAGCCACATTCAGATATATCTTGACTGTTCTGGCCCTCAGCTGAAGGTGGGATTTCTTCAAGTGACTAGACAGTCCTGGACCTCCATACTGGCATGGTTCATCTAGTACAGTTGGGACCTAACTCAGACGACTGTCCTACAGATTAGAGCAAGGCACTGCAGAGGTGACCAGGCAAGTGTTTCAGCAAGGAACACAGCCTGTCCACCCCTCCCTGCTTCTGAACATTCCTTAGGGCAGAAATTGTGAGTTTTGATAACAACTCTCTAAATTTAGAACCCTGAGGGGCAAGACCCTGTTACCTGAAAGAACCACTGAAAGCAAGCCAACACAAGCATCTGTAGGAGCTCCATTTTTCTCTTCCTTCAGGGTAGCTTAGTTTCTGAGAAAGGAGCACACAGACTTTGGTGCAATCTGCTTAAGAATGATTATAGTATATGAACTGTTTCCTCCTTAAGCAGAGGAAATCATTATGTGATGGTCTCCTTCAACTCTTCCTTGCTAAATACACAGGGCCTGGCACATAACAATTATTTCAAAAAGCATCTACAGAATGAATAAATGAAACCAACGAGTCAGTGAGCTGGAACCCAATTCTTTTCACTTCCCATCCAACACTTTTTCTAGTACACAATTCTGTTTCCTACTATACTGGTCTCGTGGCTGCCTTCTGAACAGAATTAATAAGTAAGTATTGAGGCTCTAGCTAAACTTAAATGTGCTAGCTCCAACAGTCCCTAGAAATTCTAAGCCAGGCTGTCAAGTTGAAACTGTACTAGACAATAGCCGTGCAGCTGAGGAAGTGAGCACCATGCTGACCATCTGTTCCCTTTTTTCTCCTGGGAGCTGAGCTGAAGGAATTCACAGAGGTTAATGAGCCTTCTCTGGCTCACGTAGTCTTGCACAATCTGTGGGCCTGGGTCTCATCCATTTTAGAAGATAAACACACACATGAAATGCCTCTGGTGTGCAAATGCCTATGCAATGATTAGAGCTCTCTTGCCAAAGTGATATGTGAACTTTTTAGAGGTTCTAAAGGAATACTAGAAAACTACTCAGCCTTTGTAGTCAGACAGGCCTTTGTAGTGCAGGGTTATGACCCCTGATTTCTCCACTTATTAACTGGGTAAACTTTGGTTCCTTTTACCTCTCTGAGCCACTGTTTCTTCATATATATTATTCCCATATAATGGGAATAATACAAAGAATTATGCTTTGCAGGGCTATCATGAAAATTAAGTGAATTAAGTGTGCAAAGTGCTCAGTACAGAACAGGCATTCAACACACGGGCTACTGTGGTTATTGGTATGTAACTAAACTCCATCTTGAATATATTTCTACACATTTACTTCTTCAAACCATCCATGGTATTGAAACCAAAGGCTTGAAACTATCCCATAAAGATTCACTAAGTGACTAATATACACAAGTACCTGCACTGTGTGATGAAAGCAGACATTACTGGACATCAATCTATTTTCAGTAGACATCAATCTATTTTGAGACAAATAAGAGAATGGCATAGGAGAAAGGGGGAGGAGAATAACATTTATTGAGAACCCATATTGAGCTAGGCACTGTGCTATATGCTGGGAATCCCAGGCAAATAAGTCACACCATTGGAATTTAATGTTTAATTTTTCATTTCACACATTCATTCCTTAATAGAAATCGAGTTTATGAAAGTTCCTATGGCATTCTGGTTACCAGAATCTCTTCTGTGAATGTCACTAGAACGGAAGAACGTACCTCAGAGACTGCTTCACACTCCAGCCAGGCCTCTCCTGGATTCTCAGCTTGCCACTCCTCTCTCTCTTCAGTTGCCCATTTGCAGTGATGAATGACTCCAGTTTCTGAGGCCTGGGTGCCCTTGGCCTCAAAATTATTGTCTTTGACAGTAATTGTGTTGTGGATCATCCTGCCCTCTTAATTAAGGGCATTTGTGCTTTGGTCCTTGTCCCATGTCCTCCTGGTCAATTAGGCTTATTTATTCCCTGTTGTCAATTTGTCACTAATAAGCCCTCTCATATAATGTTACTATAACACAAGTGATACACTTCTATATAATTTCAGGAAAGTAGACATTACTGGAACAAAAAGTACTTACAAAATCACATGATGAAGAAAACATTTCAGTGTTGGTTTGTTCTCTATTTCCCACAAATCTACAGTAACAAATTACAGATTTTAAAAATAACTCTAGGGCCGGGCGCGGTGGCTCAAGCCTGTAATCCCAGCACTTTGGGAGGCCGAGGCGGGTGGATCACGAGGTCAAGAGATTGAGACCATCCTGATCAACATGGTGAAACCCCATCTCTACCAAAAATACAAAAAATTAGCTGGGCATGGTGGCTCGTGCCTGTAATCCCAGCTACTCAGGAGGCTGAGGCAGGAGAATTGCCTGAACCCAGGAGGCAGAGGTTGCGGTGAGCCGAGATCACGCCATTGCACTCCAGCCTGGGTAACAAGAGCGAAACTCCGTCTCATAAAAAAATAAATAAAAATAAATAAAAATAAAAATAAAAAAATAAAAAAATAAAAATAACTCTAGAGTTACCCTTCTCAATTGAATAACTCAGTTTTTAAAAAAAACTCATCACAATCCCAATCGCAATCAATGTGTTTTGCAACCCAATAATTCTAGAACAATTAAAATGTAAATGTTAAAAGAAACCATAAACATTCAGAACGAAAAATAAGTGAAAAGTTTTATGCCTTTATGTGGGAAACACATTTCTAAGCATGCCATCAAAAGTAAAAAGTATTAGGAAAATCAACAGAATTGATTTCAAAAAACATTTAAAACTTTTCTAAGGCCAAAAATCCTCCATAAACAGAATTATCCCCTAGAAACAAAATAACAAAAATTTAACAAACATAAAATAGGAAACATATTTGCAATCCACAAAGAACACTTAACATACAAAGTGCTTTCACAATTGCAAAATGGGCAAACAATTAAAACACCACAATAACCAGTAAACATATGAAAATGTTTGAGTTCACTGATTAAAACAATAAGAAATTTTTTTTCACCATTAGATTGGCAAATGTTAAACTTATGGGTAATGCCAATGTTGCATACAAACCAGCATTCTCAAACATTCTTAGAAATATAAATGGGCTTAGTTTCACTGTATTGCAATACACAAAGTAAGAAAAAAAGATTTAAAAAGAATACCATCTGGGCCGGGCATGGTGGCTCACGCCTGTAATTCCAGCACTTCGGGAGGCCGAGGCGGGTGGATCACGAGGTCAAGAGATCAAGACCATCGTGGTCAACATGGTGAAACCCCGTCTCTACCAAAAATACAAAAAATTAGCTGGGCACGGTGGCGCGTGCCTGTAATCCTAACTACTTAGGAGGCTGAGGCAGGAGAACTGCCTGAACCCAGGAGGCGGAGGTTGCAGTGAGCCAAAATCGCGCCATTGAACTCCAGCCTGGGTAACAAGAGCGAAACTCCATCTCAAAAAAAAAAAAGAATACCATCTGTCTTAGCAATTCCACTCTGGGTTTATCCTAAGGAAATAATCACAGGAGAAGTCACAAAGGTATATGCATGAGGACATTTACTATAACACTGTTTATAATGAAGAAAAATTTAAAACAACCTAATATCCGCAAGGCAAAGAATTGAGGGTGGCCTTTAGAAGGTGACAGCAGCCCATTGCTGACAGTCAGCAAGAAAATGGTGACCTGTCTATAGCTGCAAGCAGATGAATTCTGCCAATAACCTGAGGCCACATGGAAGTGGATCTTATCCCAACTGAGCTTCTGATAAGATTGTAGTCCTGGCCAATACCTCGATGGCAGTCTACTGACAGAAACTGTGACAGGACTGATGATGCACAGAAACAGATAGTAAATGTGTGGTGTATTTTTGCTTTTGTTTTTGAGCCAGAGTTTCGCTCTTGTTGCCCAGGCTGGAGTGCAATGGCACAATCTCAGCTCATCGCAGCCTCCACCTCCTGGGTTCAAGTGATTCTCCTGCCTCAGCCTCTTGAGTAGCTGGGATTACAGGTGCCTGCTATGGCACCTGGCTAATTTTTGTATTTTTAGTAGAGACGGGTTTCACCATCTTGGCCAGGCTGGTCTCGAACTCCTGATCTCAGAATCCACATGCCTCGGTCTCCCAATGTGCTGGGATTACAGGTGTGAGCCACCACGCCTGGCCTAAATGTGTGGTGTTTTAAGCCATTAAGTCTATGGTACTTTGCTATGCAAAGTTGTGTTATGTAAAAAATAAGTTATATAATATAATCTTAAAGTACATTTATTTTGAATAACAGTACATAAGATATAAATTACATTAATATTTGAATAACAGTACATATGCTATAATCTTAAAGTACATTTCTATTTGAATAACTGTTCACAGAAAAATGTCTTGGAAATGTAAACCACCATGTGTATTCCTCATCCTTTTCTGCCTTTCTTGAAACTTACTTTTAATGAATATATATTTTATAAAGATAGATGTATTCTCATTTTTAAGGAAAAATTATATTCAAAACTTTGATAAGAGTTTGTGATGGTGTAATGTTTGTGTCATCATGACACTACAGTTTTAAGCCCTTAGAAATTTAGAAGACTAAAGAATTTACATATAACATAAATAATACAGTGATTTTTTTTTTTTTTCCACTGAGGAGTCTTGTTTTTATTGAGTTAGAACTCCAAGAAGGTTGTTAGGTAAACATGGAATGAAAGAGTAAAACTGAGGACGGCTTTTCCACATATTACTCAAATATGTGGAATAACCATCCAAGTTATAGTAATGATGTCTACATGGTCCAGATTTCCCATTCAGTGCTTACTTAAAATACTAAAGCCATTTAATTTTTGGTTACAAAATATAATCCGAATAACTATAGAATATACCTTTCGAATGCCTGAAATACACGGATGGAGGGAGAGAAAAAGAGGGATTTTCATTAGAGAAGACATTCTAAAGAAATGATGATTGACCTGAGTCTTGAAAATCAAGCCTGAGAGGATCAAGCTACGTAAGCGGAATGGCAGTCCAAGTAGAGGGCCCCCATTACTGATTAATAAGCCCAACTATGGGCACTGCTCTCTGTGGGACAATACTGAGAAATATCAAGTCGATGTTTTCAAATCTCTTCACCTGTTGCTTACTAAAACACATTTTTTATATCACCATACTGGTGTTTAGATGTCACACTATTTTTGCATTGATGTATTATGTGGGGCCTGCTTCCTGAGCTACAGAGCAGTGTCCTATGCTTTAGGCAGAGTGGCCTTTGTGGACTTGGTACAGAAAATTACATTCTTAGGTCACATTCCATGTGCTTCCAACTCTGCAGCCAACTGGTATCAGACCATCTGGTCAATCAAACAGCCTCTCTACATTCACAGTTTGTCACCATTTCTATCCTCCAGTGTCATCTGCAACATGGGGCTAGTAATCCCTAACTAGAGAAATTAAATGTGAAAATATATGTAAAGTATCTAGCACAAGGTCTGCCAGAGAGTATTGATTTGCCTAACGAGTTGTTCTGCAGACGCAGGGGAAGGGCTTATTTCTACTGAACTGTGAGACACGGGACCTCTTGTGAAGGTGGAAAAACAAGATGCAGCTGAGATTGCTAGTTGCTTAATCAAATTCACTCTTCCCTTCATTTTGGAAAAAAGATTTTTAAGAGCATCAATGTGCCTAGTTAAGATTATAGATCCCAGCTCTGCGAGGCATATTGCTAAATTCGAGTCTATAAGATGTAGTTAGAAGTTGCTGTATGGGGCTTCCAGAAAGACCCTTTCTAAAATAAGAATGTGATGGCTGGAGCTCCAACTACTATTTTGGTCCATAAGGCAAATTTGTGGACGGAAGCCAGGCTGTACAGATGACAGAGCCGAACGAGCTTGGGTACCTTCCTCCCACTTAGTTTTATAGGAGAGGGGAAAAAGCCCCTTGTGGGTTTAGGATACTGGAATCTGGGGGTTTCTGTTACAAGCAGGCAGATGCCGTCAGCCACTGTCAACTGCTGGGCCTTGGTCTCACCCAGACTCTGCTCCTCGGATTTCTCTGAACCACCTGGGGCCGCGATGCCGTAAGAACTGGGCCGATAGGAGCAGGAGAAGCGGGAGGAACGACGCAGGAGGCGCGCCGGGAGAGACGCAGCCAGACGCCGGGCTCCGTCCGCGCTGCTCCAGGCCCTCCTGGCCCTTCCTCCTTCACTCATCCCGAGAATGCGGGCGGAACGCGGGGAGCCAGCTCCGCCGCCCTCCTTCACCGGCGCCCCTTCATGACCAGCGCCGTCCCCTTAGCTAGGGTCCCCTGTCCGTCCCCGCGCCTTCCCCTCAGCGTCCCTTACCGTTCTTACACCGCCCGCGGCAGTTCGAAAATGCCCCGAGCCGCCGATTTCGTCACTGTCCGCTTCGGGCCGCCATTGGCCGGCACACGTCACATGCGGCGGGCGGCGGCTGCCATTAGCGGGCAAGCGGGCGCGCTGAGGGCCGCGCTGGAGACGCGGCCTTCGTAGGGGCGCCCCGCCCCGGGGAGCAGCCTCGGCGCTAGCAGGAGGACGTTGTTCGGCGGGCCGGGCAGGGAGCCCTGAGTCTGCAGGGCGCGTCGGGACCCGCAGGGATCCGTGCCGCGCCGTGAAGGTGCGCAGGGGCTGCCCCCGGGCCCGCTACCCACAGACCCTCCGCAGGCCAGCGTCTCCGGGCCGGCCGCAACTTGGTCAGTCGGCCACAGACGACGTGCCAGACGGGCGGCGCGTCCCGCTGACCCCAGCCGGCGCCAAGGGCTTGGAATCCCGAGCAGGAAAAGGTTCGGAATCCGCATCTAGTTTAGCGGCACACTCAGTATGGTTCTTTCAGATTTGTTTTTTAAACGTCTAGTTATTAAGTGATGCGTGGTTGGAGGCAAATCATTGATGGTCGTGAGCTTGAAACTAGTTTAAACGTCTTGGGTTTGAGGGTCTCACATTCAGATTATCTGCTGGGAGAACCCCCACGTTCTAGGGTGGCAAGTGCCTCTAAACTGCCGCTGAGAGCGATCTCAGATTTTTCTTGAGAAGTTGAATATCGGGATTTTTATGTGAAATCTCTTGGTTTGTAAATGTTGGCAACCAATTAAAAAAAAAAAAATACTGGAAGCCAAACAAAAGACGTTTATAAGCTGGTCCTAGTCTGCCAGTTTGTGACTTCTAATTTAGATCTAATTCTGCCACTAAATTAGTCACGTGACCTTGACCAAGTCACTTAACTGTCGACCTCTGGGACATGCATTCCCAACATGTGATATTGCTCATGTTCTTAGGGGGCAAAAAAGATCTCAGATATTACCGTTCTTTGTGGCCTTCCAAGGAGCCTCAAAACAAGCAGACATACATTATACCTATGGCATTGAAATTTTATGGGGGTGGCAGATTCGGAAATAAAATGTCTAAAACGTCTCCTGGGAAGAGAGGGAGAAAGTGAAGAAAAGGTTGAGAAACTGCTTTAGGGAGGTTGATAAGCAGATGATCCTGTGGTAGTTGTGTGTGTGGAAGGATTAAAACATAGTAGCATTCATTCATAGGCTGAGGGCTGGAAAACCCCAAGAGGTCCATCTGATAAAAGTTCTGTGCCAGGCAGTTTTAGCACACATACGCACAGGTACATACATAATACACACACATACATATGCCCACACAATTTTATTTGATCTCCATGACAAAGTGTCATTTCATTTACCTGTGGGAAAGCAAGCTCAGAGGGTTTGAGTGACTTGCCACAGTCAGAGCTGTTAATAATAAATGGAAGAACTGGGATTTAAATCCGTGTCTATATGGCTCTAAAACCACCCACTCATCCCGTTGGTTCCCAGCTTGTCCAGTTGTGTCCAGACCTCTTTGTGCACAAGAATTCCACCTTGTGGCTTTTTAAAAATGCAAAATCTCAGCTCCCACTCCAGAAATGAGGATTCAGTATCAGGGATTGGGCTGGAGGATCTGAATTTTCATATCCTCCTAGGATGATTCCCATATTGGTGACTCAGGGACCATTTTAAGGAAAAGTGTTCTAGTCTCATTTCTCACCCAATCCCAAAGATTTCATGGGGTTGTACCCAAGGGTCTCAAATTTCTCCTCCCAAGCAGAGATTCCATCTCCTTTTCCAGACAAGTGACCATTCAGGCTTTGGAAGGAAATCTTTTGTTGGAGGAAACCAAGGTTTAGGAGACATCACCCTATGCAGTGGAACAGCTCTCATTTTGAGAAGGTCCTAACAATTTTGCTTTGCTTTTTTAAATATGAGCTTCCCTCTATGCTATTCTCATCCTCCTTGAAAACTTTCAAGGAGGTTGAGAGCATTTATTGGAAAGTTACTATTAAAATTCTATTATTTATTTACTTATTTTGAGACAAGGTCTCACTCTGTCACCCAGGCTGGTCTCATACTCCTGGGCTTAAATTAAGCCTTGGCCTCCTGAAGTGCTGGGATTGCAGGTATGAACCACCACACCTGGCCTAACGGTTCTCTTAAAAGCACATCCTTTTTCCCTCCCTCCCTCCCTTCTTTTCTTTTCTTTCTTTCTGTTTGAAACGGAGTCTTGCCCTGGTGCCCAGGCTAGAGTGCAGTGGTGCAACCTCAGTTCCTTGTATCCTCTACCTGCCAGGCTCGAGCAATCCTCCCACCTTGGCTTTGCAAGTAGGTGGGATTACTACTGTGTGCCACCGCACCCAGCTACTCTTTTTGTATTTTTTATAGAAATGGGTTTTCGCCATGTTGCCCGGGCTTGTCTTGAACTCCTGGGCCCCAGTGATCTCCCTGCCTCAGCCTCCCAAAGTGCTGGGATTACAGCTATGAGCCACCGTGCCCAGCCTGCACATCCTTTTACAAAACCAACAACTGCCTCAAAGTCTGAACATTTTCTTTGCTCTAAATTAAGCAGTATAGAGGATGTGAAAAATGTATATATTGAAATGTTTCTTAAGAATTATGTTTTATGTAATTATATATTTCTTTTTCTAAAAATGATATAAGTTGAATAATCAAAACATTCCTTTGCAAGTATTATCTGGGTTGTTTCATGTACTTAATGTGTTGTTACTGAAAAAGTTATATTTCGTTTTTCTGGTTTCTGTGGAGGCAACATGGGGTAGAGGAAATAAAGTGGGTTTAAGGAAGAACTGGTGTTCTAATCCCAAATCTAGTAATTACTAGTTATGTGACCTTGGGCCGGTGACTTCCTTTCTGATTCTCAGTTCTTCCTCTGATTCTCACTTTCCTAATCTTTCAAATGGGGACAGTGCCTCCAGGGTTGTGACAGTTATATGAGACAGCATGTGTAATGCCCTAGCAGAGTGCTAAGCACAACTGTTTTCTATTAATATTAGTTCTTTTTCTCTCTCACTCTATTTAGAGCAAATTTATGAGATCCTATCTTGCTGTAATATTTAAGATCATTTTCATTTCCAAAAAGATGCATTTTCTGAAGCACTTAACTATACGTGAGATGTAAAAAAAAAAAATTATAAAAGTAGTGGGCCGTCTTTTTTAAAAACTTTGCTGAGAAAACTAAGGGTAGATTACTATCTAGTTCCTTATCAGGTTTTGCTCTCTATGACCCAAATCATCCATTTGTTAATTCAGCAGATATTTACGAACACTTGTTATGTGCCAGGCAGTATGGTAGATGGAGACAATATAACTGTGAAGAAGACAGACAAGGTCCCTAATCTAAGTAATTATATAAGGAAAAGATAGTAAGTAAATAAAAGTAATTAATGCTTTACACTAAAACTGAATAATGTCCATGGATTTAACATGGTGAAAAGGTATGTGCCTCACTGAGTTTAAATTTGTGAAAAAATATTAAGAAATTATCTTAAACTCTTAAATCTCAATTAAGATTTTGAAATTAGATTATGTGTCAGAAAATGAGAGATTTGTGGCCAGGCATAGTGGCTCATGCCTGTAATCCCAGCACTTTGGGAGACTGAGGTGGGCGGGTCACCTGAGGTCAGGAGTTGGAGACCAGCCTGGCCAATATGATGAAACCCCATCTCTACTAAGAATGTAAGAATTAGTGGGATGTGGTGGCATATACTTGTAATCCCAGCTACTCAGAAGACTAAGACAGAGAATCACTTGAACCTGGGAGACGGAGGTTGAAGTAAGCTGAGATTGCACCACTGCACTCCAGCCTGGGTGATAGATAGAGTGAGACTCTGTCTCAAAAAATAAATAAATAAATAAAAACAAGAGAGAAAATGGGAGATTTAAGGAAAATAAATGAGAACACAGTTAAAGATTTCCTAGGTCTGAAGTGTTTTACAGTTGATCCAAGGGTTGTAATTTACATTTTTTCCATTAAAATGTCAATGTTTTGATAATTTTCTGCTTCTAAGAAGTTATGTCATTTTTCTTAGAAATCATTCTTTTGAATAACAATTACTATGGACACTTAATTGTGCCACCAATAATGTTTCTCAGTGGTTTCTCTGAAATTTTTTAATTGACAGTTTATAATTTTATATATTTATGGAATACAAAATGATGCTATGATTTATTAATTCATTGTGGAATAACTAAGTCAAGCTAATTAACATATTCATCACCTCACATACTCATTTTTTGTGACTAGAACATTTGAAATTTACTGTTATCAATTTTGAAATGTATGCGATTCATTTAGAATCATCTTTTGCAGTCAATCGTAATGTGTTTCTTTCATACCTTATAATGATGAATTCAACTCTTAGGTAGAAAAGATTCTAGGAATTTGCATTTTCTCTACTTGAGTCTTCTGTTTTAGGAATTAATTGCCTGTTTAATTGATGTTGTGACTGTGTTTTTATTTTATTTTCTTCCCAGTACTCTTTCCCAAGAAGTTTTCAATATAATGTAATATACTGTTATTAACTATATTCACCACACTGTGCAATAGAGCTCAATCCTTCTTGTCTATCTGATGCTTTGTACCCTTTTGCCTTCATCTTCCTATTCCTCCCCACTGCCAGTTTCTGGTAACCACCATTCTGTTCTCTGCTTTTATGAATTCAAGTGTTTTAGATTCCTAATATAAGTGGAACATGTGGTATTTGTACTTCTGTGCCTGGCTTATTTCACTTGCATAATGTTCTCTTAGTTCTCTTACTCCATCCATGTTGTGGCAAATGTCAGAATTTATTTCTTTTTTAAGGCTGAATAGTAGTTCATTGTGTATATATACCACGTTTTCTTTATCCATTCATTTGTTGATAGACCCTTAGTTTGAGTCCATAATTTGGCCACTGTATATACTTCTGCAATAAACATGGGCATGCAGACATCTCTTTAACTCATTTCAAATGTTTTGGGTAAACACCCAGAAAAGGGAATGCTGAATAGAGTGGTAGTTCTATTTTTAATTTTTTTAGGAACCTTCATACTGTTTTGTGTATAGTGGCTATACCAATTTACATACCCACCAATAGGACACAAGGGTTCCCTTTTTTCACATACTTGCCAACACTTACCTTTTGACTTATTCTTAATGCCATTCCAACAGGCGTGAGGTGATAGCTCCTCATGGTTTTGATTTGCGCTCCCTCACGATCAGTGATATTAAGCACCTTTTCATGTACCTGTTGGCCATTCGTATGTCTTATTTGAAAAAGCATCTGTTAAGGTCCTTTGCCCATTTTTAATTGGATGATTTGCTTTATTGCTACTGAATTGTATGAGTTCCTGATGTATTTTGGATAGTAATCCCTTATCAGATATATAATTTGCAAACATTTTCTCCCATTCTGTAGGTTGTCTTCTCATTTTGTTGATTGCTCCCTTTGCTGTGCAGAAGG